GTGTCTGTCCGCGTGTCCTTGTTTGTGTGTGTCTGTCCGCGTGTCCTTGTTTGTGTGTGTCTGTCCGCGTGTCCTTGTTTGTGTGTGTCTGTCAGTGTGTCCTTGTTTGTGTGTGTCTGTCCGCGTGTCCTTGTTTGTGTGTGTCTGTCAGCGTGTCCTTGTTTGTGTGTGTCTGCCTCCGGTCATGACCGGCTGTGACCCCCACACCTCGCTTCCTCAGGCACATTGGTTGCAGCTGACAGGATTTCCTGTCTGGATGCCAGCGTCATGCTTGGAGGAGCCCACAGAAACTTGACTGGGACTCCTGACCTTTGGCTTGGTCTTTTGCTGTTTGTCGTGACCTTTGACTGGGTCTCCTGACCTTTGGCGTGACCCCGGATGTATGCGAGACCGCAGAGTTGGCCCTCTCGCTCCTGTAGCTGTGCCCCCCTCCCCCACACTCACAGGTTGCTGAAGCAGACACCTGCTCCTCTTTCCTTCCGTGTCGAGTCTCATCCTCCATCTGGAACCAAGACTCCTGACACCTGTGTCTGTGGTGACCAGCTGCTGTGCGGTGCTGTGTTTCAATTGGATGTTTGCCCATATAACTTTGTACCTCTGGGATTTGAACGCGCTTCCTGGTGCTGTTCCTGCTCCTTATCCTCTGCTGTTCTCGCTGCGGAGCTCGAACGCCCCCTGCTCCGGGTTCTGCTGGGGCTCAGCTGTTTCTGCTGTCGTCCCCCTCCCCATAAGCAGGTTGTAAGATTTATATTATTTTAAAGAGGAGCGATTCAGTCACTCACAATCTCCAGGCATTAACTGTTCAGTTGCCAGGTAATGGGTCCCGGGGTGGGGGGGGGATATGAAGTTTGACTTAGATAAACAGACCCCTGTGATAAGGCTGCCACTAACGACAATTTTTCTATGGATTGATCTATCGACTATTTTACCGATTGGTTGATTCATCTAAACGATTAATTTTCCTCCAGAAAATCAAGTAGACCGTCTAATTTAAGCAGCAAACTGTATGCTATTGCAGGGCTTTGTAGATATTGGACGCAGACTTTTCAGCTCTATTATTATTTTCGCCCACAATTCGATAAGCAAATTAGTAGTATGCCTAAAATATTAATGAGATGTGTATTGCGACGCCCAAAACTTAGTAATCTATATAAATTCGGCGTATCCTTGTGCTTATTAAGTTCGGTTAGCGGAGCGCGCCGCATGCGACTGTTTTGGTAAATCATGGAAGCGATAAGAAGTGAAGTCAAGAAAAGGACAGCGCAGTAACCACGTCTGTCAAAAGAGGAAATATTGTGGATAAACAAAGTAAAAAGATGTTGGTGGTGTGGCGCTAATTTGTTGATTAAAGTCCGACACTTTTTACAAATACATATATAGTTTTCTTTTTTTATCTCAGTTTGTGAATTATTTTCTTTTATTTTTTGTCCATTTTCGTTTCAGTCTTGGTTTACGATAATAACGCTGGTCCCAACAACCCTAATGCGCATGAACACACCCCGGCACCGTCAGTCCACGCAGCATGAAACCCAGATTTTAGCCTAAACATTTTCTCAAACACTTATTCAAAGGAGATTCTAAGGTAGCAGGCAGACAACTTTGGCTTTAATAATGACTGTATTTAGCAGCTACAAGGACAAGACATATTAAAGCTGTCTGTGTTCATAGTAATTTAATAAAAATGAATAAACAAAACTTATGGTGGTTTTGCTTGTTCTGATAATACTGGAGGTTTTATAAAAGAACTTAAAGGAGGACATTGATTTTGAATTATAACAGGAGAAAAGCTTGTAAATGTCAGGGTTTTTTTCTGTGTCCTCTTGTGATAACTTTCAGTTAATATGGTAAATGAGCGGTGGCAGCAGACGCTGATCTGTGATCAGCTGCTTTGACTCACATCGTTACACATGGAAATCTTGGGGGGTGCAGTGGGCGGGGCCCGGTGGAGGAGGGCGAGACTCAGGCTCACGTGGGGCGGAGACAGTGTCTGATATGTGATTAATAAACCCACCTGTGGCAGTGCCACCCCTCATGTTACAGTAATTCCTTTAATCGTTTCATTTGTTTAAAGGTGACATTTGCCATGTGTTCCAGGCTGCCTGTCTGTGTAAGACATTGAGTTAAACGTGGAGAACAGCACGCAATTAAGGTTACATGGGGAGGTTCTCTGTGAGCGTTTATGGCCTCGCGGGCCTTTGTTAACGCTGTGTTCAGGGGTGTGCTCTGCTCGCAGCGGTTGGCCCTCCTGTTTCACATTTTATCTGCACGTGCTGTCCAGATGGTGGTTCTGATGGACCCGATGGAGGACCCTGATGATGTTCTCCGTGCCAACCGGTCCCGGGAGAAGACGTACATGTTCGACGTGGCGTTTGACTACGCTGCCACGCAGGTGAGCAGTCCATAGGGGCCAGGCCACGCCCTCTTGTGCATAAGCCCCACCCAAAACCACACCGGCCCCGCCCACCTTGCCAAACATGCTGTGATAGACTCTGGTTTCTGCAAAAACAGGATGGTCTGCTTGTGATATCAGTGTGGCGTCAAGCCCGAGACTCTGGTGGTTTTGATAGTTTTCATACTTTGATAGTTTCTGGTTCCATTCTGTGCTTGTGCATTTTTATGTGGCATCATGATTTTTTCATTGCAACTTATGTATAATTATATTTAATTTAATCTATGAATGCTTAACACTTTTTGACCCAGGAGGTTGTATATGTTTGTGTTTATATTACATGGCAGGTAATTAGATTATGTGTTTTTAATATTGACACTGGAGACATTGACGTTGCATTAAAACTACCGTGATTTTACCGGTGTCAGCATTCCTGTTATTTGTCGCCTTAGCTGTGAAAAAGACCTCCAGTCCCTAAATCTCTGTCTGAGAATATATGCAGGCAGATTCACCAGCAATTTTAGTTTGCTGGTAGGACCTTAAACACCATGCCCTCTGGTGGCCCAGCTAGGTATTGAATCCCTTCCTCTGGTTCACAGGAGCAGGTGTATCGGGCCACCACAAAGGGCCTGATTGAAGGGCTCATCTCGGGGTACAACGCCACCGTGTTTGCCTACGGACCCACAGGTACCCCCGCCCCCGTCCCTTTCCCCCCCCTCCCCTAACGTGATAATTAACTGTGGTAGATGTGAGTGCCAGTGTGATCAGTGTGTCCTTCTGGCTAGGTGCGTCGCCGCTCACCAACGCCGTCATAACAAGATCCTAACTTAATTTTTTCAATAAGTCTACACTTGTGAATCCAGCAGAATATTTGCCTGTAATATTGACCCTGATTACTTAATTAATGTTGGCGTTTAACTGGAGCCCGTCTGCCTGCATCTGATCCTGCAGCCTTACATTGACCTTTTATTACCTGAGCAGGTGTCTAAATCCAACACGATGTGTTTGTGATTTCGGTTTTATGATCCTTTTTTCGCTCGTTGCGATTGTGATGATAATGAGACACATCCTAATTTAAGAGGATAAGTTAAACTGTTTGCTGAGGGTAGATAGGGTGCGATTGGATCATTTAGGATCCTCCATATGGAGGGGGCGGGGCCACAAAATCTGGGATAAGATTGTATGTTTCTAAATCCGTCTTAATCGGCTTAAAGCCCTAGATTCTAGGCGCCTTCAGACAGATTGCTGAGCTAGAAATCCTGTTGGGTCTCACACACCGTTACTGTACCTAAACAGAACCAGACTGCTGCTTCATACTGACCAATGAATGGAGTTTCATGTAATCAGAACCGCTCCAGGCCTGTTTTGGCCCGTTTGTCCTTCACGCCTGACAGTTTTAGGAATCAGTGGGGGTGGAGGATGGGGGGAAGGCATCATGACTTTATACACTCAATTCAGAAGCCTAGTCGTCATTAAATATGCGAACAAATACCAACACTGGCTCTGTTAAAACAAATCAGTGACCTTCATTACTCAGCACCATCCCCCCCGCAATTAATTGGCAAGGCTGGCATTGCACATGTTCTGCATTTGGCACCTTTGCATAATCTGTATGTTGGCCCCCGTAGGTAGACAGAATAACAGACTGTGTGAGTTAGATACTGTACATGCATTAACACATAAGGTAAGCAAGATGCAGCATTTTCCCCCCCAGGTGCCGATACCAAACTGTGCCTATGTTCAGTGCGGCTCGTCTTCACCTCCGTCAGATAGTGGCACTCTCTCTCTCCCTGTCTCACGGCAGAATAGAATAGTGACACTTTAACCATCCCCATGGGGAACTGCTCTCCGTGAGACACACAGACACACACAGGTGAGAGCGAGCTTGGGGTCATAGCACAGGGTCAGTCCCCTCCCCCGCCAGCTGAGACCTGAGATGGGGGTGTGTGTGTGTTCAGGGTGTGGAAAGACCTACACCATGCTGGGAACAGACGCGGAACCAGGCATATACGTTCGCACCCTCAATGACCTCTTCCACGCCATCGAGGAGACCAGCGACGACATGGAGTACCGCGTTTCCATGTCGTATCTCGAGGTGAGTCATACATTTCATATATGCCATAGCGGGAGGTGAACACTAGGGGGTGTCATGTCTGTGTGTCTCCATGTCATGCATTGAAGAGAGCAGTAGGAGGTGCTGTTTTAGGCCTGGCCTTCAGGAAGCTTTAGTATCAGTGGGGTTTGGGTTGTCCTCTTCGGACTGTAGCCCTTCGTTTTCACTTGGTAATGTGACAACTGTAGCACATGTGACAGGGGCTTTAAGGAGCCTTTGGTGGCACCCCCCCCCCCCTGCAGAGTGCTTATGTGGACTTGCCTGCCGTTTACACTGGCAGCAAAGTTTATGTGTTTGGGCAAACAGAATTAGCACTCAACCACAATGGCTGCCCCCCCCCCCCAGGAATGAAGTGTTGATCTTTCATATAAGTTACCGGGGCTGGGGGGTGATGGCCTTTTACCAAAGTTACTCGAAGCCCCCATTCTCTTTAAATAATGGATCTGAGCATCTGACACCTGCAGCACAGAATCTAATGCTGTTTATTGGGACTGTTTTAAAGGCATTTTGCGCACCGACTAATCATACAGGTGACAAATTCCGTCCATCCATCTCCCATCTGCATATCTTGGTCAAGGTACAAGGGAATTCATATTTTAGGACACTATCGGTTGTGCTTAAAAGCACAAAGGGTTAATCGTAAGGGCCAATTCGAGGTGTATTGAGGGAGTAGGAGAGAGTGAGGATGAGGAGGAGAGGGGGAGAGAGAGAGACAGAGAGGGCAGATAGAGAGAGAAAGACAGACAGAGAGAGAGAGAGAGATACAGAGAGAAAGATGGAGAGAGACAGAGAGAGATGGACAGAGAGACAGACCGAGACAGACAGACAGGGAGAGAGATAGACAGAGAGAGAGACAGGGAGAGAGAGAGATAGAGACAGTGAGAGAGACAGAAACAGCCAGAGAGAGGGAGAAAGAGACAGAGAGAGAGAGACAGAGAGAGAGAGAGCGGTGATTGACAGAGCCATTTTACATTTGTTTAATACGACCAGAGAGGAAATAAAGAAAACTATGTACACACCGTTAAAGGCGTAACGGAGCCCGGGGGGGCGGAACAGGGCTGGGTCACGGTCCGGCCGAATCGCAGGCATTCCCGGGGTCACCCCATCCTCAGGCAGCCTGGTGACAGCGTTGCCGTGGAGGTCATGGGTTTGCATCCCGCGTGGCCGTAAACGCAGGCGTGTCGTCAAAGAGCAGGAATCCGGGGTCAGGGGCGTTCCCAGCAGGCTGTGCTCTGCCCCACCCCCGCCTCCATAGGTCTGTTCGGTGATTTCCCGGCCCGCATGGAGTCAGCTGGCGTTTTTATTGCCCTGCCCTTAAATCTGCTCTTTCAGGTCAGCCTTCAACACACACGCAGACACACACGCAGACACACACGCAGACAGCCCTCTCCACTCTGCCCCTGTCCCACCGGCAATCTTCTCTCCTCCGGCCTCCTGGCACCTCCCCCATAAGCTGGTGAGAAGATCTTATTCCTTCCACAGCATCCGAACAGTTTGTTCGAAGTGTAGACAAGTCAGAACCACCTTGCCGCTTGTCTTTCTTGGATCCCCAGCACTGCAGCGGGACAAAAGCTCTGTCCCAGCCTCTCTGCTGTACATACAGGATCCAACATTCAGATGTTCCGGAGATCACGAAGAAGGTGCCTGACATGGTGATACAAGTGGTTATGAGGGCAGATATTGCTCTCCAAGCGCAGTGGATATCTTAAATCAGGGGTTTATGAGAGGAAATTTCTCAATCAATTGAACCTCTTGCTCTTAGCCCTAGATCTCAATTTTTACTCGTTGCTCTACCTTCAGATCTACAACGAGATGATCCGGGACCTTCTAAACCCTTCCTCGGGTATCCTTGAGCTGCGCGAAGACTCGAAAGGCGAGATACAGGTTGCAGGCATCACCGAGGTGTCCACCATCAATGCCCAGGAGGTAGGGACACTTCCCCACCGCTGTCCAACTTCAGGGCGCCATCTCTCGCATAGGAGGAGTCCCTACATGAGTAGGCCAAGGCGTCGTGGTGAATAAGGTGTGGTGTTGGTGCATTTTTCTCTTCCTCTGTCGGTCTGCCAGATCATGGAGTTGCTGATGAAGGGGAATAAGCAGCGGACACAGGAGCCCACGGCGGCCAATCAGACGTCGTCACGCTCGCACGCTGTGCTGCAGGTGGCCGTGCGGCAGCAGAGCCGCTGCCGGGATCTTCTGCAGGAGGTTCGCTTTGGGCGCCTCTTCATGATCGACCTGGCTGGCTCCGAGCGAGCCTCACAGGTATGCCTTCTGTGTCTATATGTGTCTGTCTGCCTGCCCATCTGCCTGCCTGTCTGTCAGTCTGTCTGTCTGTCTATCTGCCTGCCTGTCTGTCTGTCTGTCTACCTGCTTGTCTGTCTGTCTGCCTGCCTGCCTGTCTGTCTGTCTATCTGCCTGTCTGTCTGTCTATCTGCCTGTCGATCTGTCTGCCTGCCTGCCTGCTTGTCTATCTGCCTGTCTGTCTGTCTATCTGCCTGTCGATCTGTCTGCCTGCCTGCCTGCTTGTCTATCTGCCTGTCTGCCTATCAGTCTGCTAGCCTACCTGCCTGCCTGTCTGTCTGTCTGTCTATCTGCCTGTCTGTCTGCCTGCTTGTCTGTCTGCCTGCCTGTCTGTCTGCCTGCCTGCCTGTCTGTCTGATACTCAGTGGCAAGGATTTACCTGTATTTATACAGTCTTGATACATAATGTCTGTCACACGACACAGAACTCTCAGACAATCACTCTGCAAGTTATCAGAATGTCGTCGGGTCAGATCCCAGGGTCGGCAGAGACTACACTAATCGTTTTGGATAAAAGCAGCTGCCTAACAAATAGCCGTAAACACATTTAGGTGCCGGACTGGTGACCAGTACGCCATAACTATAATCATGGCTTCACTCGATCCATCCCTTCCTCCCGGGGTCTGCAGCCCTGAGGAAGACGATGGCATTAAATTATGGCTGTTATCAAAACTGTGCTGTAGAAGTACTTTGTGGTCCACTTGTATTTGGAAGCTGCTATTCCCATCTGGAAAAGCTGATCAGGACTCAGTTTAGTAGGCATATGGAACGCCCTCAGATGGGGTCTCCGATGTCCGTCAGTCTCGCGGAGTGCGCGTGTGCAGGCGTGCCTGGGGTATCAAACCCGAAAGTCCAGGGTCGTGAGGCAGCAGGGCTGACGTAGGCATGCACAGATCTGCAGGATCCTTTGCAGATTATTCGGCACGAGAGGCTCCATCAAGAGCCGCAGAGTAGCTGGGCTCGTTCTCCTCGACGCGGCGCAAAATCCCCATCCAGAGGGGACATTAACCCCCCCGGAGCCCAGCCTGTTTACTGCAGGATTTATCGTAATGCACAGTAAGGCATTTGTAATGAGCCTTATGGCGTGTTTATGTACACAGGACTGTGTCTCAGTTTGAGGTGACATGCAGCATGGGAAATGCGTATCATTTATTTGAAGGGAAAGTACTTGTCTTATTATGGGAATTGTTTAAAAAATAATCAGATGGCTTAGGGTGTATCTCCACATTTGCTTTAAAACTGAATTCCTTTCCTGTCACTCACTTCAGGGATATAGATGTTTGTCTGTGCTTCAGAAGAGTGTTAAACTCTGTTTGACATGTTTTCTTCCTTCCGTGGATGACTAATGACCCTTTGCTAGTGATCGCGAGCTGTGGGGGAGTGGAGTTACAAGGGCGCCATCTGCTGGCCCTTGGGTGGTATTGTGGTACCTGTTGGCTCACTCTTGAACTTGGGGGGTTGAAATGCCTTTGTGTAGGGTTTTTTGCACAAAGTAGACAGATGAGGACCCCCGGTGAAAGGGCAGAGGGCTCTCACTCTCGTATCGCGTCCCCGCAGACGCAGAACCGAGGACAAAGGTTGAAAGAAGGGGCTCACATCAACCGCTCCCTCCTGGCCCTGGGCAACTGCATCAACGCCCTCAGCGAGAGGCACGGCAACAAGTACGTCAACTACAGGGACAGCAAGCTGACGCGTCTGCTGAAGGTACAGCCTACAGCACATCCCAAAATTACACGCTCTGCCGCTGTCGTCACGGATGGAGTTGCCGTGTGCACCGGGTCATGAACCCATCCTGGTTTTTCGACTGGCAGGACTCCCTGGGCGGGAACAGCCGCACCGTCATGATCGCCCACATCAGCCCCGCCTCCATGGCCTTCGAGGAGTCACGCAACACGCTAGCGTACGCCGACCGCGCCAAGAGCATCCGCACGCGGGTGAGCGCCCGCTGCAGCCCGGTCACCTCTGCTCCCCCCTCACTAGGCCTGCCAGTGGTACATTCCAGTGAGGCTGCGTCTTCGCTAAGTCACACATCTGTCATGTGATGCGGGAAAGCAGGGTTCCTGTAAGGCCTTCTGTTGTTCAAACTGGCAGAGAGTGACATTGGTCCATTCTATAAGACAATATTTTGAATATTTCATCCAACAATTCAATAATCGTTTTAGATAACACATTATAGTCTTTTAAACATAATTTTCATACTTGTATCTGTAATTATTTCCATCTCCTGAGTTTTTTGCCAGGGTATCTGGGTGGCACTTTCGCCTCACGCCCCAGGGTTGCAGGTTTGAAGCCCACCTCTGTTCTGTGTGTGGAGTCGCTTTTCCTCCTGGTTCTCTGGTTTCCTCCTGCGGTGGAGAGACATGCAGCTGGGCAACTTGGCACCTTTTAATTGCCATGCGACAGACGGGCATCCCATCCAGGGACGTGCCCAGTGCTGCCTGGACTAGGCTCCAGGATGAACAGCTCATCCTTTTCTCCTTTTGGGGGTGCCAGGTGAAGAGGAACCTCCTCAACGTGTCATATCACATCGCCCAGTACACCAGCATCATCTCGGACCTGCGCGGCGAGATCCAGCGCCTCAGGACCAAGATCGCAGAGCAGGGCGGCCGTCAGCAGAGTTCTGACCGCACCGACATCCGCAGCGTCCAAGGTGGCCTTCTGACTCCAGACCAAATTAAAAAATGAGCTCCTAACAGTTAAGATTTAGATTAGGTGAAGGAGTGCTGATCCTAAATCAGTTATTACAGGCACAGGATTTCCAGAAACTTCCGTGAAACTTCGGTATGTTTTGTCTTGCGAAGAGAATGTTTATGTAGGTGGGCCATAGTGATAGACCAAACGTCTGAACAAAATGTCAAATATAAAAGCATTTTCAACCCACATGCAAATTAACTCTGTGTATTAATGAGTGCAGTGTTCAGTGCGGTTCCTACAGATGTTCTGTCAGAGTGAGACCCTGTCCCCGCCCCCGTAGCGGAGGTCCAGGCCCACTCCTCACAGGCGGAGATGAACCAGCTCCGGGAGCAGCTTCTGGAAGCTTTCCGGCAGCAGATGGAGATCCGCAGAAGCCTGATGGAGCTGGAGAGCAACAACATGGAGATCCAGATGGACACATCCAAGCACCTCCTCACCATTGCCGAGTGAGTGGCCCTGGGGCAGGTAACCCCCACCCTCATGACCCCCCATCACTGTTCACGGCCCCCCATCACTGCTCACAACCCCCCATCACCGCTCACGACCGCCCATCACTG